GTGGGAAGCAGACCTCAGGAAGGGCCTTCAGTGATGGTGTGGCCCAGGATTCTCACCTCCTTAGTCTCCGGTCCTGTCCATCTCCGCAGCATCCTAGGCAAGAGAAGCGGAGAAACACTCAAGCCACTGGGGTGGTTAGGACACACTGGTGGCAATTGTTTAAAACCTTACCTAAAACAAGGTTAGGCAAAAGCAGTTTACAGGCTCTCATAGATGGGAAGGACGTGTGAGGGTCACATACTGAGAGGAACCAGGGCTGCGGCTGCTGGAAGGAGCCTCACCACTGCCAGTGTGCTTCCTCCCCATCGTCAGCATCTCTGCTTCTCTCTGCATGCCGGCAGCTCTCTCTTAGGGCATGCAGACCTCTCCCCTGCAGGGAAACATGACTGCCAGCAGCCCCCAGTTAGCGACTATCATAGAAACCCAGTGTATTTCTCTCTTGTTTATCGTTCTGAGACCTGAGTCACAGGCCTGTCCAGCACTCAAGACTTTTTCTTTTCTCTATTTTTTGAGACAGATTACCACTCTGTCCCCCAGGCTGGAGTGCAGTGGCCCGATCTTGGGTGCAAGTGATTCTCCTGCCTCAGCCTCCCGAGTAGCTGGGACTACAGGTGCACACCACCACATCCAGCTAATTTTTGTATTTTTAATAGAGATGGAGTTTCACTATGTTGGCCAGGCTGGTCACGAACTCCTGACCTCCCGCCCGCCTCGGCCTCCCAAAGTGCTGGGATTACAGGCGTGAGCCAGCACACCTAGCCAAGAATTTTTCTTTTAAACCTGGAGTTTGGAGATGCTCACTAGTCAGACAGAATCAGCCACCACAGCCCACTCCCTCAGCCAGTATTACTTTGACGCACTAAGTTAGTGAGGAACCAGGCCCCAGATTAAGAAGCAGAACTCACACTGTCATCTGCTGTGCGCCTGGCTGGCTCATGCATACCCTGTCTGTCTAATGTGAACCAAAGCCCTGTGGCGCACCCTGTTGGTTACCCCCTGTGGTTACCCCCACACAGAGGAGGAAAGGGAGTCATGGGAGGGAGGACCTGGGAGGTCTCTGGGCTGGCAAGTTGGGTGACACAGGTCGGGTTGGCTGCAAGCCTGGGCTCTGCTGTTGTAATCATGAATGTGTGTGTGTGTACAGTTGTTTACAATGTCAGTGTGGGTGTGCTTGTTTGTTAGAGAGACATGCCACTGATCCCATGGTGAGGAAAATCCCAAGCCCTCCCCCTGATTTTTGCCAGTGTCTGGGGACTCCTGCTCCTGGCAGCCCATGTGTCCCCAACTCCTGTGTCCTTTAGGGACCTCTGTTGAGCCCTGCCTCTATTCTGGCAGAATTAGAGAAAATTCCTTAAAAAAAAATAAAGTTTAAATTCACTTTTTAAAGTAATAAAAAAACTCACAGCACGAGTTTTGATGAGATTTGGGGCAAGGTGGGCCACAAGCTTGGGTTGTATGGCCACCTCCCCCTCTTCTTCCCCTGTTGTCTCTGCAGCTCAGAAACCCCAATTTCCTGGCCTGTGTTATGTGGAGGAACTGAGCTCACCCCCCACAGCTTCATCTCCAAACCTAGCAAGGATCCTGCCCAGATCTGGAGCTCCACCTTTTAATAGAACTTATTTTCTCTCCTTAGAAAGCAGTGGGAGTGGAACGATTCTTTTTCCTGATGCAGATATGTAAAACTGGGACATTGCTACACATAATATTTTAAATCTGTCTTCCCTCTTACCAACGAACACGTCACTAGCACCATCTAGGCCAATACATTTCTCAACATCAATTTCAGTGGCTGTATTACATTTTATCCTACGGATGTGCTCTCATTTATACTCTAAACCCCTTTTATTGAACACATCACTTACTCTGAAATTTTCAGTGTTATGATGGATGTTGCAGTAATTATTCTTATGTATGCACAGAACCCCCAGAGGACATGACTACTGAAGGGTGTGCTGGCAGGATCACGGGTGAGGATCTAGCAAATTGTCCCAGCTTCATTGGGACTGAGCTTTCACCCTCTTTGCACTACTTTGAACTGCCATTTTGATCATATAATAATGATTTAGTAGAGCTCTTTTTTGGTTCAACCTACCTGTTCTTGTATCAGAACTAAAATGTTTAATTTTATACATTTGAATATTTGAATAGTGGCACAATATAGAGTTCACTATTCCTCAGTATTTTCAAGGCTGCTTCTTATCTGTTCATTCTTTTGGTTAACTTGGGAATCATTTTATCAAGTCTCTACTTCCCAATTTCCTTTCAGTTTTGGCTCGAAATGATATTCAATGTATACATTAAGTTGAGTTACATTTTGCTGCATAATACTGAGTTACATTTTGAGTATTATGTATTACTCATAATACATATTGAGTTACATTTTGCTGCATAATACATTTTCCCCAAGTTTAACACCTTAAAGCAGCACATACATATCTCATACCCTTCTGAGGGTCAAGAATCTAGGAGCAGCTTAGCTGGGTGACTGTGGCTCTGGGTCTCTCACGAGGCTGCAGTGAAAATGCGGGCCAGGGCTGGAGGATCCCTTCCAACCTCACTCCATGACTGTTGGTGGGAGGCTTCAGTTCTCCACCTGGCTCTCACAATATAATTTCCCCCAGAGTCAGTTATCAGACAGAGTGTGCAACCAGTAATCTGTCTGTTAGAACATGTCACTTCTGGCATATTCGACTGGTCACTCAGCCCAACCCTAATACATGCGAGAGTGACTATGCAAGGGTATGAGTTCCAGGAGGAGAGCATCATTGGAACCATATTGGAGACTGGCTAATACACAGATTAATGGCACATCTGACAATACGGGGTCTTTCTGAGTGTCAGTGTGGTGTGTTCCTATATGAACTTAATTCTATTAAACTTAATTAAATTCTAGGTATGCTCTCAGCGAAGATTTTTACTTTTGTTCATTACAGGTCCCCACACTGTTAAATTCATTCCAAATTAAAGGATCTTTTCTTTTTTTCACATGGCATTTTCTAAGTAATTGTTGCACTCATATAGGAGATGCTGTTGATTTTGACACCCATAATTTTTCAGTGGAGACAAGGCAGACACTACTCCAGACTCTCACCTGCTATCACTGATCCTTACGTGTGGCTGTGCCAGGCTCAGCTGCGCTGAGATGATGGGGCTGTCTGGCCATCGTTGGTCATATGGACTTCAGATTTGAAAGGATTTTATGGAGAAGCAGAGTGCCTGATATGACTCTCTGGGACCCCCATTTCTGCCCTCCTTGGCTCCCACTGGCCAGGCTGACTCAGTTCCTATCACCTTCTCCTGGACTTTGGCCAGAGTCCACTGGCTGTTCCCCCTGCCTCCTGCCCTCTCCACACCAGTGCCCTCTCCACACCAGTGCCCTCTCCACACCAGTGCCAGAGCTGCTTCCAAGAGATGCCTCAAAGCCCGCTTCCAGCTCAGGAACCCCAGGGGACATGGATGGTTTCTCCATTGCCACTTCCTAGCCTTCCTGGCATAGGCAGGTCTGGTTTGCCTGCAGGTCCCTCTCTGGGGTGGGTCCCTGCTCCATAGATGCTGAGCCTCCAGAAGTCCATTCTTTTATATCACATTTGAAAACATTTGAAATGCATTATAGTTCAGTCATATGAATTATATAAGTATATCCTACTCATTGTATAAAACAAACAACACAGAATTGTCTAAAGTGTCATCTTTCTCCCCATTCCAAGAAGGAGCTAAGAAGCAATGCTAAACAATTAGGAGAGTCATCTTCCGTATTCTTCCCTTTGTCTCCACAAAAGCAATCAGACATACAGAATTTTAAAAATTACCCTGTGCACAGTATTCTGCATGGCGTCTTTTCATTTTATCAACGGTGGTCACTTCCCTCGCCAGTTATAACAGACAGTCGACTTCATTGTGACAGGAGCAGAGCTCCATGCTGGGCAACCCACCCCCACAGAGGGACACTCAGGTGGTTTCCAGTCACTTGCACAACATAGTTGCGTGCGTGGGCCTCCAGGGCCCGGAAGAAACTGCGTTCGCGTGCAACATTAAACACGCCACATGGGATGATGAAAAATGAAAGCAAAATAAGACCAGTTGAAAGTCGGCAGAAAACCTGTGTGACTACTCCGTGGCTCCCCTGCCTGGTTTCCAGCCGCGGACTCTTGCTCTTCAGCGCGACCCCTGCTCCTGGGGTCCTTCGGGGTCCTCCCGCACCCACGCCCCACACACTCGGGTTGCGAAGCCGAGTGCCTCCCCGTGCGGCCGCCAGGGGGCGCCCCAGGCCGGGCCGAGCGCCGCCCCCGCCCAGGAGAATTAACAGACGCGCGGGCACCGAAGCTGGTCTTTCCAGAAACCGCACCCCGCCCGCTCCCGGGCTGCCATCCGCGGCTGGGTCACGCTCACGTCTCCGCGATTCGGTGTCTCTTGGCCTCCTGCCCCACTGACCTGGGAGTGCCAGGAATCACCCCACCCCCACCCCCAGCGAGGTCCCTTCTGTTGCACAAAATGGGCGCTAGCTGGGGTCATTCTAGTTTGGCCGCCTCACCCTCCTCCAGGGTGGCACCATCACCATTCTCGCCCGCCTCCAGCCGGCCCATTCCTGCTGCTCCCTACAGCGTTGTCCCTGCCCCGTGCCCGCTTGTGGTCGTAGGCATCTTGCAGCCCGGGAAAGACAGAAAGAAGCTGCCCGCAGGAGCCCAGACCCTGGGTGCCTTCCTCCCCTTGTCTCCTCTCTGGACTTGGGGGTCCCCCACCAGCCACGGCGAGAGCGAGAAAGATAACAGCTGGGCGGAGGCTGGGGAAGACCCTCGGTCTCAGAAACTGAAAGGAGCCAGGACTCCCGGTTGGGGGAGTCGGTGCAAGCCCTGAGGTGGGAGAGGAGGGCGGATGGGAGTCCAGGACCACAGCTCTGCAGGGGACAGGCAAGTCCTGTGGCGGCTCTAGGAAAGTCTGGGTCACACTGGGACCTGCCAGCTGGACCTGGGTGGGGAGGGGTGGGGCGCCTGACTCTACTCCTGTGACCTGGACATTGCCCAACTGAGCAGGAGCTTTGACCCTGTGGGCTTACAGCTCATCTGAACCTGCTTAGTCCGCCTTCCTGTTGTGTTAACCTTGCAGAGGGGGAAGAGTGCCAACTCTCCACCCCCCTTCCATCACTCCTGGGTACCTGATCCACCTTCCACCCTCATGGGTAAGGAAGGGGACAGGAAGGTCACCAATCCAACCAAGCCACAGTGCCAAATCCTGTTGGTTCATTTGTTTTCCCCTGATTGGGTTATGTTTTCAAACCATCAACAGATTCATAGCTGCTGGTGGATGTCAAATTTCAAAATAGGGGAGTCCCAATACGGTGACTTGTGCATTAGGAAGTCATAGGCAAGCCACTTACTTTCTCTGAGTTTCAATATCCTTGTCCCAATAAAAGGGCAACTGTGATTAGCTCTGAGCACATATTGCAGAAGTCAACATCCCGCCCTTCCAGTGTCCTTCTGATCAGGCCCAGAGGAGAGCCAGTTTCATCTTCTTTCTTTTTGGTCAACTCCAGACATCTGCAACAAACAAGAAGATGAACAACAACCATTAAAATTGGCCCCTGGACAGTTTATCTGTCAGCGCACGCATGGCTGCAGGATCTCATTATAGGCCAAAGGGAAAGGATGTCTGCTTCCTTTCTGTCCTGGAATTCCGTGATAAAATCCCCTCCAGTTGTCTCTACTGATTCCATTTTGTTTTCTTTCTTGGCTATAACACAGATAGGAGGAAAAATCTTTCCTCCCTCAAGGCAGAGTTTTCAACGCATCACCTCAGAATGCCAAATGTTCTGGAAAGGAAGAAAGTTGGTAGCGAAGGAACCTGCAGAGAGAGGGACTGAGAGGGCTGAAGGGCCCAGCAGCTCCTGGCAGGCTCCTTTGGTCTCTGTTTGAAATTGGCTGAAAAGACATGGAATTTAGTAGGCAAGTCTGCCTCCTTCTCCTCCTCTTATCTGCAGAGGAGAGATCGGTTCCCAGCTGGCCGGGGCAGTGTCATTGATACAGCTGGTGTCATTGTTACCTCCACTAACAGATCACTTGACACCTACCGGCTCAGGCAGGGCTGGGACTGGGCATTTCCTGGCTGAACTGGAGGCTTCGGCCCGCCCCATTGTCCCAGAACCCCAGGTGAGGCCAAGACATGGGCTCTGCTGGGATGCCATGCTTGGTGACCCAGCAGAAGGACTAGATTGCTCCTAGTGGGTGCTCCCCCTTGCAGAGTCCCAGCTGCCCCTTTGGGTCCTGTTGCCTGGCCTCTTTTGCTGTCCTGGGTAGAGGAGATGAGTTTGTCGCTGGCTGCAAGCTGAGGCCAACTGACGCTGCTGCGCAGAGAAGGGGCACCTAGAGTGGCCTCGGATTGAGGAGCCTGTAGTGCAGAGCAACCCCTCGGGCCTTCCGCCTGGCCCTGCTTCCCTGGCCGGCTGCCCTTCTGGTGAGTGCATCCCAGGTGGCATCATGCTGCAGCAGATCCTGCACGACATGTACATCGACCCTGAGCTCCTCGCCGAGCTCAGTGATGTGCAGAAGCACATCCTCTTCTACAAGATGCGGGAGGAGCAGCTGAGGCGCTGGAAGGAGCGGGAGACTTGGGAGTCCCTGGCCCAGGACAAGGGTCTCAGGCCTACGAAGACCAAGCGAGGTACGTGGCTGGGAGTCATGGAGGGATGGGCCACCAGTCCCCCAGGAGGTAGAAAAATTAGCAGGGCCAGGCTGTGTCCTTCTTCAAGATGGGCACTGGGGTGATGAGGCCTGGGGGCTTGAAACCCTTGTCCTGTGGGCATCAGGTCCCATGAGCCTGTGCTTTTGTCTTTTGGCCAGGAACTTAGGGCTTCGAGGCTGCTGCAGAGGCTGCCCAGAGGCCCTTATCGGGGTGGGGGAGTTGGACTTGCTTTGTCTTGTTGTGGAAGGCCCGAGTTCTGGGAAGACACCACTGAGACTTCAGATTGTGCTCCAACGTGGTTGGCAATGGTAGGGTGAACGAGGGCATGTTTGTGACCCTTGCCATTGGTTCTGGGCCAGAGTGTGGTATAGACATGCAGTTCCTCTCTCCTTGGCAGGCGTGGCAAACCAGTTCTCGTCTAGGGCCCCATCTGTGGACTGTGCCTCTCCCTCCAGGTCCTCCGGCGGGAGGATGCCGTGGGTTGTCCCTGGAGTCTCACTGGGCATCCGGAGAGAGGGCATCAGGGAACATCCCACACAGAGAATGACCATCCCCAAATGGTCGTGGCAACTGCAGATGAGAAGCAAGGGCCTAGCCTACATTTCAGGTGTTTTGTATGCAAAGTCTTGTGCTAGTCATATCCTATGGACTGGTACACCTGGGGGTGAAGGAAGTCGTTTGGGACCCCTGGGCCAGAAACTGGCAGGCCGCTGAGGCTTGGCTTGGCACAGGACTCAATCCTGCTGGGGATGGTAGTTTCTGTGGATGCTGCATGCACTTTACAGTTTGCAAGGCTTTGCCTTTTGAAGTTTTCAATCCAGGACAAAGTCCTGTTTCAGGGCTGAGCACACAGCTCTCTTGGTGATCTGGCTCTTCTCCATGCCAGACTCACTGCTGGCCATTCCCCACCAGGTGCCACAGGCCATGCTCGCACCATCTGGACCTGCTTGCTCTTGTCTCTGGTCTTCACGTGAGTGGCTCTTACTGTTGGGAATGCCCTGCCTTCATCCACCTGACAGACTCCATCAGGGCTGGCCCCCTGCCCCGGAATGTTCACGGATGCTCTTGCATAGGGCAGTACTTGCTCCTCTGTGGCTGCCTGGCATGTAGGACCCACCCCTGCCCTGGCACTTGCCACCCTGTCATTGTCATTCCTCATCTGCTTGCCTGCTCTCCAATGGGCTCAAAGGCCCTGGCGTGTGAGGCCTTACTCCACTCTGTCTTCCTCCCCTGGGCCCAGCACAGAGCTGGCACATGGTGTTAAAGACACAGCAGGACCCTGCCGGGGAGGTTGGGTCAGAGCTGTGACTTGGCTGCAGGTGGCTGGTGCCAAGGCTGGGGCCTTCCGGGCTGGGCTGCGCTGGCAGCTGCATCACTAACTGGTGGAATGACAAGCCACCTTGCCAGCCCCACCCGGCCTGAGCCCTGGGGACTCGCATTGCCTGCATGATGACTCTTCTGGGAGGGAGACGGATGCCTAAAATTTTAAATGCAAAAATATTTGTACAGAGATTTGTCACACATTGACATCTACATTTTCATGTATAAATTATACATTAAACTCATTTGAGTTTCTGGTGCAGAAGATCCTTTTTCTGGTAATTAATTTTCTGATTTATAAAGAATGGAAAAGCAGGGAAGCACGCTGAGGAATGTGTGTATCCCGGGTCAGGATCCCACTCGGATCCCGGCTCTTTGCTTTGGTCCTGCCTTCTGGAACTGTCTGGGCATGCCACTGCGGAGCCTGGGGGCTGGCCCCACCCAGGAGCCCGAAGAGCTTTCAGCTGGAGGGTCCAGGATGTACAGGATCTGCTTCATGTCCTGGGATTGTGATGAAGGGTGGCAACAGCCTGTGAGCTTTACATTGACTGGGTGCCTACCCAGCCCTTGCTGCTCCCATATCCCTGCAGGGTGGCAGGGCAAGTTCCCTGATTTCATTTCAGTTAAGGAAGGTGAGGCTCAGAGAAGTGATGCGCTACATCCAAGGTCACCCAGCTGCTACATCTCATGACTTGGACCTGGGGTCTGGTGACTGATTTTTTTTCCATTCATTCACTTCCAATCTCGGGACTCCAATTAAACAAATGAGCTGTACACACATTCACTTGTTCACTCATTCACTAATTCATTCGCTTATCCAGCATTACTATGTGCTGACTTCTTTGAATGGGACAGTGCTTGTCCTGGAGACAGCGGGTAGATGGATCATAGGGAACACAGCCGACTCGAGTGCCAAGGGTGAGGCTTGGTGCAAAGCAGCCATGCCGTGTCCCAGGGCGGGAAGTGTGCGGGGACGGGCTCCACGGAGGAATCTTCTCTTCCTTCCCTTGATGTTGCCAGAGGACTCAGAAGGTTCTCCAGATGCTTGTGAGACCCCAGCCCCCAGCTGATGTCCAGGCTCTTGACACTGTCTTGAGAAATAACTCAGGAATGAGTCAGAATGATAGGAAAGGCAAGAAACTGCTAGTGAGAAGCGAAAGTACACGTTTGAAAGAGAAGTGCGGGCGTGCTCATGAGAGTGTGTCACGCCCAGCAGAATCTGGGTTTCTAATTTTATGGGCGTTTCTTTAATTCGGGGATGGAACAATTCTTAGGTGTTCTGGAAGAGGAGGAGATTTCAGGGAACCCCTTGGGTTACTGTCTCCTTCCTCCCTTCTTTGGGTTTGCCCGAAGAGCCATGGACAAGTCACCCTGAGTGGGATTTCAGCCGTTTTTGCTCTCTTCCTTTCGGTTTCCTGCTCTCTTGTTGTTTCTTTGTCTTGTTCTTGTTTACGCTGTTGTTTGGGTTTTCCATGCTCCTGTGACCACCCAGTGCTATTCTTGTCTCATTGACAGGCACCCTCTTTCCTGGTCCCCTCCCCACACATTTGTTCTGAAGGAAGCACCTGCTGTGGCCCTGCTGAGCTGTTTGCCGGCCCCTTGGGATCCCTGAGCACGACCTGGCTCAGTCCTGATCAGCGTAGAGTGACACTGGGCCTCCTCTGGGCCATCATCCCCAGTGCTCTAAAGCTTCCCTTCTCCCCTCTTTTCTGGGAATATTCCTCGCCCCTGGCAAGCCTGGCTTTGCCATCCATTGGGCTCAAGTAACTCTCCCCGTGGCCCTACAGACAGGCAGGCAGGACAAGGTGTGCCTTGTGCCCGAGGACCTCACAGCCCCGGAGTTGTGCCTGGTGAGGGCGCAAGTAAACACTGGTGATGTGAATCATTCTCATTTACAGAACCTAGGAGGTTTTCTTGATTCTGGGATCCACATTTGGAACCCACAGGAGTAAGCTGGGGTGAAAGCTTAGAGGTGGACTGTGAAAGGTAGGAAGCAGAGGAGACGAGGGTGTGCCTGGACACGTCACTCCTCTGAGCACATGGCATTTCTTTTCTGTTTTCACTTTATGCTTTGGCAAGAACCCTCTGATGTTCTATACTGTTGTGGATGGTGTGGACCCCTCAGCTTGGTAGGTTTTTTTTAATCTAACATCATGTTTATTGCTCTATCGCATTTCTGACAGTTTGTTGTCCAGTATGTTGAGTGTATTGAGACTCAGAGAAGGCATGTTATCACATTATGTCCCAGCAAGACTTAAGTCAAACCCCTCTAGCATGGCCATGACCTGTGCAATCTCGTCCTCTCCTCATTCTGCGTGGCCACCTCAGGAACGCACACCCTGTGTTAGGAATTATGAACTTCACAACCCTGTGGACTCCTCTCTGCTTACTCAGTCATCCTAGGTTCTTGGGGCCAGAGCTGGATGTGACCTGGGGACACATGTCCACACTACTGACCAAGGAAGCTTCCCTGTTTGGACCTGTCAGTTCTATATATATATATATATATATTTTTTTTTTTTAGACGGAGTCTTGCTCTGTTGCCCAGGCTGGAGTGCAGTGGCGTGATCTTGGCTCACTGCTACCTCTGCCTCCCAGGTTCAAGAGATTCTCCTGTCTCAGTCTCCCAAGTAGCTGGGATTACAGGTGCCCACAACCACACCCAGCTAATTTTTGCCTTTAATAGAGACATGATTTCATCATGTTGGCCAGGCTGGTCTTGAATTCTTGACCTCAGGTGATCCACCTGCCTGGGCCTCCCAAAATGCTGGGATTACAGGCACGAGCCACTGTGCCTGGCCCTGTCAGTTTTATCTTGATTGACAGTTTCTGCCACTGTTAAATTGGTTCCTCTGTGACCGCCTCCTCATCCTTCTGGATGCTTTTGCCTGGGAGCCAGACGTCTTTCCCTCCTACTCTTCCCACTCTCCTGTTTGTGAACCAAGTCTGCACACTCAGGAAGCTGCTTCTTTCCTTTGGGTTTCCTACCAGGCAGCCAGCTTTCCTGTGCCTGCTCCCTGGCTTGCCCTCATTCCAGCCAGTGGAGTGCTCTGAGCCCAGTGGGGCTCCAGCCTCCACTGCCTCCATTTTCCACAGCTGGGCTCAGGATGTGCTCCCAGATGCAGTCCTGACCTGGGGCCTAAAGGGCTCATCCTCTTTAGCATCCTCTTTATTCCTCAGCATCAAGTCACTCCCACTGCCCTCATGGGAGGTGTGTGACACCATCCTTCTCACTAGGCATCTGGCTTCCCTGTTTCCTGGGCCCATCGGGTAACCACAGCAACCTTGCCTGCTGGGCTTGGGCCCTCCTGGCCTCCATGTGTCCTCTTTCCAGGCATGGAAGTCCCGACCTTGCATGCCAGCCCTGCCTAGACCCCTGCACGGAGCCCTGCACCTGCCTGCCAACATTCCCATGGTGGCCTTGATCTCAGTGCAGTCCCTGCCTCAAGCTCATCCCTACATTTCCTTCCCACAGCAGCCGCAGACCTTTGGACACACGAGTTAGCTCACTTATCCCCCTGCCTCGGTGGCTTTCATGGCACTCATGAAAGGCACAGGTCTTTGCTGGCACCTGCCCACCTCTTCAAGCTAATTTCCACCATGTGCATCCCACTGCGTGGAATGCTGTTTCCCCAGATCCTCATGAGGCTCTTCTGGGT